ACGACAAGATCATCATGGCTGAGAGAAATGCGTTATTTTCTAAATTTAAAAGCTGACTATCCATATTAGCCAGTTTTTTTTTCTTTTTTAGCCAGAATAGACAGTCCACACTCTCGCTAATTTTCGTGTGGCTCCCGAGAGGTCCTCGTATTTTAGATTGCAAATGTTTGAAAATGCATTAGTGTGGCTAAAAAATCATTTTTGATATACCTGGATTTTTTATCGCTTCAAAGATAAGAAGAGCCAGTTCGGTCGTCTAGATAACGCCTAGTATTCTATAGATTACATGCACTTTTTTTTCAACTTTTACCCCTATTGGATTATTTTATACTTGAGAACCTTGCTCTGAGAACCTTACCGTAAAATTTCATTCCGCTAAAATGTTTTGTCTACAGTGTGCATTTCAACGAGTTTGAATGCTAAAAAAAAGTTGCGATGATTAAAAAACAACTAAGTGGTTTGGTTATTGAATTAAAGATATGGTGGCAGTAAGTAATTGATAGTTACGTTTTGAACGAACGTGACCATCGTCAGAACTGACACTTCTATATGGTTTAACTTTGTTTAATCAATCCTCCGACTCTGTATTGATTGCAGCTTCATCTGTTGCACGAAAGTATCTAACGGTAGAAGCAGCTAGGTGGATGGGAAAAGTTCTACGATGGGTCGTACAATGATAGCACTACTCTAAGTAACTGTTAAAAAAAAACCCACACTCTGTAAAAATATGCGACACGGGAAGAAAATAATCAATATTCCTGACTAATGAAGATAATTAAATTGATGAAGTAACAAGACAAAATGATTGAAGGTTACGCAATGTTTTTCTATTAGTACGTAGAACTGGTTAAAGTGCAGGGTCTTTAGATGAAGTCTGACACTTTCTGCTACCTAGCAGTTAGCTGCAGGCCAATGGATTTAATATTGATGGTAACGAAGGAATACTAAATAAAAGAGCGCTATAAAAACTCTGATGGGCGAATTTCTCCTGAACGCTGTAACAACACACTGAACGTATGGGAGTGTATTAACATTTTTTGCTGCCATTTTTAAGTAACCCTTAGGAACACCCTCTCATTTGTCTAAAGGATTCTCGTTTGTCAAGACGAGGTCTATCAGCAAAAAACCACTCCGTTTTTATTACGCATAGAGGAGCAACGCGATGGAAAATTGAACGCTAGCGAAAATATGGCGTGTGTTAAGTTGCCAGGCCGCCGTACGATCGTTCTGTTCCTGCTAGATTTCTCGTCCCGATGCGATCATTTTTGACACAAAATATTTGGTCGCTGTTATAGTTATATTTTCTAGTAACATGTAGTTTTTCACACTTCAGTCACCTGATATATTCGCTAGCTCCTCAGGAGTCTCTTCTGAAAGTTTCAGATAATAGGATTATTCAACATGCTTAGTTAGGGCTGATCGAAAAACAGAGAGGCATCAGTACTAGCGAGCTCTATACTGCACGGACTAGCGTTCAGTCCATGTTACTGTGCGTAACAAGGCCATAGCCAGTTACGATAATTACTAATGCTTTTATAGTACACATACATACACACACCGTATATATTATTGTAAGTGAAATCTCTTCCATGTCAACGACACTTAGAACAAGGAGACAAGTAAATGTATAGCGTTGGAATGTACGGTAGTACGGTAATGACCGGCTGTGTGTCCTTGCGTGGTGGTACGCCGGGCTGATACCATACGCTCAAGGGAATCAAACGAACATCACTAGACGACGGCATAGCCAAATAGCTAGAAAAAGTATTACGAGTGTCTGGCACGAGCTTCTTTCTCCATTGAATTATTGACTGATTTTATAAAAAGCAAATCAATCAGTTCATCAACAAATCGGACCAACGTGAGCTCGTTAATATATTATGCATAGCTTCTACTTTTTTTTACGTTTCGTTTAACTCGTAGTGTCTAGGTATTTCTATAATGGACCCGAATCAGCGATACTTTGGACACTGCCATCAGGTTCCGCTAGTGTTCAGTAAGTTATTGAAACTTGTACTTGATTGCCACACACAACAAACACACAAGATGTATCTATTAAGCAAACTTTTGCATAGACAATTCACCTGTCACAGGCTATAAGCATATTAGTGGGCATTGGCTTTAAAATATTTTATCTCAACTAGATGAAAAGCCCAACACTAATTAATTGAATTAAGTGGTCCAAGTCATTTGGAATTGTCGGATATTAAGTCCCAGAGTAGACAGTTCGCGTTTAAGCCAAGGAAACTTGATGGTATTATTTGAGATTACACTAAATACTACTATATATATTCCATTTAGTGAAATCAGGCTATATGTTTCTTATATAAATTTATATCAGTTACTGGAACTACTAAAAAAAAAATTGTTCTAGATTTCATCTAAGCTATAACAAGTTGAAAGGAGCAAGTTGAACCTACATTCAGCTTGGTAGCAGAGTTCATAAATCTATCAATAGATATATATATAGCATACGTTAATGATACTAAGCATATGTTTCGACTTTACGCCAAGAATTGCTTTGAATTAAGGACACTGAGGCGAAAAGTATAGGACGTGTGAAATCGAAGCTAGGGCCTTCGGCTTTTCAAATTATTGGAGTAAGTACAATAATATAAAAATATTTTTTTCTGTTAAAAAATGTGTCACTTTTTAAGAAACCGATTTTGCTAAATCACAACAGCAGTGTATGGACAAAAAGAGCTATCTATGTATCTGAAGGCCATTTCGTGTGCAAGTATGATGCGATGCTCATCATATCTTTGTTATTATTGTCAGTCACCACACCTAATCTCTAAGTGTTTTTTGTAGTTTTCATACGCTTGTATTTCAAGCTAGATTCTGTAAACTGAATGATAAAGCAGTGGTTTTTTTGAGAAAGGTGACTGGGACTGATTTTCGTTTGATGGTTCGTATCTCAGTGAATATGGCGGTCGAAGTAGCTCTGCCATGTGAGCGGCAAGGCAACGAAGAATATGAGCGGAGCTCATTACATTCCTGAATAGCTCATTGCACGCACAGTGGGTAGTGACACGCCAAGATAAGCGGGTATACATGCGCCACCGTTACGGACACCCCGTAGGGTACAAAGCCCCCACTTCTCTCCCAATGACAGACACGGCATGAACGCAGCGATGCTACCGAAAACAAGTCCTAAAAATGGAACCTACGAATGCGTCTGACATCGGCTGATGTCATCGAATGTTGTCAGTGGATACCCAATGTACTTGTTGCGAATAATCAGTATGGATAAAAGGTAACTACGAGTCACCTAACGCGCGCCGTTGCAGAGGCTTCAACGTGCGCGGGTTCTATATTACGGTTCCACCAAAGACTCGTAATGCAATCAGTAACATGACGTCACGTTGAATTCTATACCTTGTACTTTGCCCAGCTGGCAACTAAAATTCGATACTATAGAATCAGCTACGGTTTCGGAAGTCAGATAGAGACAGTTTGCTTTTCAAAAATCTGCCTTCGTCGCTTTTTAAAACCATATGTATATACATATATAACATTAGTCTAAGCAGTCCATTTCGTAGCGTTGCTAAATGGCTCCAATCAATGGTGTATTTCTACGATGTCCTTTCGTACGAAAAAACCAAGCAAGATCAATGGACCGGACGGCTAGCAACATGGCGTATGGTTCTAGAATTGTAGATCTGCTTTTTGTGAATTTCAGCAGAGAACTGAAGGGCGCCCAGTTATGCTAGAAAGATAATATTTCATGACTCAAATCTAATGATTCAATATACAAGGCGTGCCAGCTAACATAAGACCACAAATAAGAATCGATCTTTTTTTTTTATTAAGCAATAGTTGTTTTAGAATTTCCTAAACAGACTGTGACTTGGCGTAGCAGTTTCAAAGTCTACTTTGTTCCTAATATATATATATATATATTTGCAGTAAAAAGTAACTGTGGCCAACATGTTCGTAATCATTTAAAGGTTATGAACAAATTAAGAAATATTTAAAGACTCTTTCTTGTGTCGTGTCCGATGTGGGACGTCGGCTGTGGAAATCAGTTGTTTCAATTGTTAAGCGGCTGTGTACAATTGCATGGTCGAGCATCGAAAGTACGCTCTGGAATTGACCAGAGTTGAAAAGTATACGGCTATTATATATTATATTATTAACTAATGACGCTTAATTTGCGGCAAGACGCTTAGGGGCTGTGTTTTATATACTAATTTTCTGAAAGTATTGTTGAAGCTAGAGGCGCCATATTCTATATAATTTGTAGCACAAGTATTTATCCGATTTAATTCTGAAGGTAATGGCTCTAAAAAGTTTTCGTCAATAGTTTCTAACGCACTAGCGAGTATCATAATTATGCACCTAAATGAATCGTTTATTATTGATATTCCTTAGATACGTAGTTAGGGGTTCGGTATACGTAAAAGATGCTTCCATAGTGCCGTCCAAGGGAATTTTATAGTCAGAGGTTTTACGAGACGGGGTTCGGCCAAGAAAAAATCCAACATAGGACATTTTGGCGGTTTATACGATTGACGAACTATTACTACGTGCTATTTCAGCATTAGTTTTTGGGAACTGTGTACAACTTTTAGCCGTTAAAACAATAAATTGAAGATCAATACAAGGAGTCACAATTTTGAATTTTGTAATGATTATTATTATTTACCGACTTTCGTATTATAACGTTGTTTTCTCAGTTAAGTTTTATAGCCGCCTCACTTGTTTTAGGGGTCATTTCGGGCAGAATATATCGTTCAGACTATAAAACTAACGAACATAGCTTGCAGATGGTTCCAGAATCCTCTATTTTTTCTTTGATAAGGTCTACTCTCGTGGCTTTCTGTGTCCTAAAAGCCGGACGATTAACTATCTATTGGAAGTAGAGTGTAAATGAAGTATAACTGCCTTAGCTGTAGGAAAAGCAAGCTCGTATTAAAGTTACTTCTGTTAAAGTCGTTAGATATAGGTGGTAGCACATTACTAACAAGTCGTTTCAAATCTGATGACACTGCTTACAGATTATCACCGGAGTGTCGCAAACACGAATAATGGATGGTAATTGGCCTCCCTTGAAGAAATTTGGATTTAAGCACTTCGACGTAAGGTCATTCTTTTGCGGAGACATCTGCTCTGGCAGTCGTAGGGACGATTCGTACTCAGAAGCAAACATTCTATCTGTGCCAATATATGGCTCTAACCTCGAACCTGGTCGTATCACGGCAATAATTTACCAAGTAGTTGCTAGCAGCGTCCCAGTAACGGCATCTGCAGTATTGCAACTACAATCTCGGCCGTGATAGAAGCTCTGGCCTTCACACCGACACGGTGCCACTTACTCAATGGGTTAGAAGTGGGCCTGTGTGAGCTCATGCTTGGTTATCTTTTCACATCTCTATAGTAACATCCGATGAAGAAAAACGCCACTCGAATACAAATATAATGTGTGTCACTTCGGTTCTCTTTGATCGTTTTGTCGAAGTATTGGAAAAGTACCTATACTTGAGTCGATAATCAGCTTGTTTCAGTGCATTGAACCGGATTTAAACCTTTCCGCGCTGTTTTTCTCGAAAACCATTGTTTAGGTAAACGGGAACGATTACAACAGAGGCAGAATAATGGCTGCAATATCTACCAAACTAAATAGTTACTGTCATCTATGAAGTGCTAAGGTTCCTATGAACAGGCCTGTTTCTTTTGTATCCCGTTGGATAGCCTACAATAAAACATTATTGATAACAAAACGTGACGTCGGTAGACATCAGTGATTAATTCACCAAAAGATAGCTGTCTTCAATATTAATGAGTCTTTCGCTGGCCAGTTCTTCATCTATAGAGCTCAACTCAGTGTTTCACCACTGTGAAGTACAGAGCGCTTTTTGAACTGATGATTCTTGAATAGAACATTATAGATTTCCCCATCGTAAGATTCAATTGTATCATTTCCTGTACAGTTTAAGCACGACAGAGCACTATACAGACAGATATATTATGGATTAAAACGTGACCCGAGATCGACCAAGACAAGCAGGTTGAAATAACAAAAAGAAGTAGCCGGAGGAGCAAGTCAATATTCGTTGAAAAAAATTGGTCGGAACAACGACGACGATTAGGAGTATTCGGCTACCGCTAAACAGCCAAAGATTCGCCATGAGCCCCTTCATGTTAAAGGTACGTGCCCCGTTTCTCCTAATGCAATAATTAATTGTATTCTCTCCATAGTTTCCATTGCTATTTACTATAGAGCTAGGCCAAGACCAGACTGTTACTTTGTTTAGTTTATATGGTATATGTTGATCGAAGCATGACTACAACAGTAAGCAAGGTCATCCAGTAATAAACTTTTTAAAATCCGCTAGTGTAGTAATCACACTAGAGATTTTCCAGGGCCTTTAGGACTGTGTATTAGGACAGCAACGTCTATTTTAATCTTACGCTGTCATACTTTAAAATGTAAATAATCAAATCGATTCTCAGGCGATAGACACAACCTGTGAAGTTAAACATTTGTTTATATGTAAAACTTACTGAATGATATCTTATTTTTGGGCACGAACGACGATTGACGAAAGTTGTTCCCAAGCTGCTTGTCGGTAGTTTCTCATTTGGCTCTGCGTTCATCTGCCTTGCACACGGTTGATAAACTTACTTAGACAAAGGGATTTATAGGTCTACATACGGCAACATCAAACTGCAACCGGAGGCAGATATCAGCGAAAAGAACGTAGAGTGCGCCGATTTGCCCCATGCTGCTAACCTACGGTCTATCGCAACGAAATTCGCTGCTTCTTCCCTTTGACGTGAATAGGTTTAGAAGTATTAATATTAAAATTATATCTCTTCTTATTGTTACAATTGAAGTGATATGTTTGACGACCAACATGCCACAAGCTTTCATCAACGCCTAGCAGATAAGAAAATTCATGTGATGAATCTGTGAAGGGTCAAACTGTGGAAAAACATTTCACAAAATAACATGAGTTTGTGAGAGAAATGTTATACGAAAGGCTCCTGCATGAAAAAGACTAGTAGAAATCGAGAAGATCTATCTTAAATTCTTCCACTAACAGGTCTATTTTTGACAGCGTATGCTTAGAGGCTTCTGCATATATATTTTTTTTTAAATTAACCAGTTTCCTTTGTACTATAACGATGTGCATGAACCGCACTCTCAAAATAAGTTTGGTAATAAATAACAGTGTACATTGAAATTGATTTAGGCCCTCCCGCACAACCTTCCTTGTTTCTGTAATGAACTTTTGAAATTGTTGCGAAACATACGGAGTATGTTGTTAGATTTTCAAATCACATCAAGAGACTTCGGGAAAAACCTGTTTATTCAGGCGATTTTCGCAAAAAGCTTATTAATTGCTATGTAAAAAAAAGCTAAAAAAATTGAGCGTCTTCAACTTTTTTATATTTCATTTAAAGGAAGTAGAACAAAGCTAAGCCAATCTATAACCGTATATTTGGGCGCGGATTAGATGCTGAAGCCACTTTCATGCTATTTCCTTGAAGGATCCACCTGTAGCTCCATATGACAATTTTCTTCAAAAAGAAAAGATGGCAAAAACGATAACGTCGATGTGACGGTAAGCCCATCAAGTATATAGGTGGACATACGCATGTGCGTGTGAATAGGGTGTTACCTTAAAGTTGTGGCCTTAATATCGGTATTGATGCTCCAGGGATCTCATTTTTTTATTTCGCTTACTTACCGTCGAATGTGTATGTATCGTTATTCAGCAGCGCATATCGCTTATATTTACCGCTATCAGACAATTGCTTGTAAAATGTAATTCAGTAACGCTCGACGAGTCAAAATAAAGCAGTACGATATGCCGATTTTCCTATAACAACTCTGTCATACAGGCGATCCCTCCTTCCCATAGATTACATATATTTACTTCAAGGTTTTCTAGTTGCTTGTTGCTTCTTAACCTTCGAAAAGAGAAAATCTAGAGGGTTATTGGGCTCCTGGTATGTACCTTACTTTGCGGTAACTGATACCAACTCCGTTTGTCCAGCGCCGAGTGTCAAAGGCAAACGCCGCGAACGAAGGTGGCTGTGCTTCGTGCTGGTATGAAGCACAATCCATACTCGACGATCATAGGCGTGCATGCATGTCTCTGCTATGAAATATTAGATTGTTTACGATGCTATACGATCTACGCTTTGTCGATATTACAGATAAAAACCTGTATGCAGTATCCACAGAAGAGGTATAGATTTACTTTTCGAATTTTTTTGTTTGCAGCCATTGAGCGTGCTGCACGTAGTTATATTAAGTTAGCCGAACTGTTAGCTGTGCTTCTACCCACTGGAGGAACTTCTAGAACATGTAGTAATAAGTGCCACAGCTTCGACAATTCATTCGGCTTTCATGTATCAATAAAGCAAGCCATTTAATTATTCGATTCAACTAAACTGAGACTAATTTATCCACTAGTGATCCTTTTATAAGTGTTTTACAGATACTGAATATAAATGAATAAAGGAAAATTAATAGAAGTACACAAAAAATACAATGCTAGAAAAATGCAAAGAAATAGTGAACTAAATAAGAATTATGGGCGCATAATTTTAATGCATGAACTACCATGGCTGGCAAAATAATGACACGCAACATAAGTAGATTATCTAGAGACACGAAAATCATTTCAATGTTATGCAGTTATTTAAACGATATCCGTGTCTAGCCTTAGCGTAGTTTTCAACCCACGTAAAAATTACCGGTGTTCATAGAGCACAGGTAGATAAATGACTTTACTGCTACAAAATGGGGGTTACAACGAAATGACCTTGCCTGTGAGGGAAGGTCATTATTTCAGGGGACTGCATAGTAGGGGAAGAGAGTGCGAAATAGGGAAATCGGTAACGCTGATACTGACGATGATGATTAGCACAACGAAGTTGGACTGGGCCCTACGGAGAAGATGGATGGTGTATCTCTATTATGCTCGCGTCTGACAGACGCGGTAGCGCTTCATGCGGTTGGCATTAGTAGATTAAAGACGAAAGTCTGAAGGGCGTCGTCTGTGTGAGCATGTGATCCGCGTCCACGTGCCATGGGACGAACAACGTCTTCTACACATCGCAATTCTACGAAATGGCATGCACACATTGAAAATGGTGGCCAGCTGCTCAGTCTTCAGTAAAGGATTCAGGGTTATATGGAATTGCCAGGCAGCTCCTGCCGATCACGACACGTTCATATAATAGGAGAAAACTCCTTCTCTCCTTCGGCCTGTCCATTAAAGACGCGCTACTCGATTTAAAACAAAAAGGTACCTAAAGCTCACAATTGCAAAATGTCACCACATCGTCGCTTTTTACATCTGCGTTTATTTTTTTGTTCTTAGCTTCTATTGCGCACCGCTTAAAAGCTAATTCCGACCGAGTCGCAGCAGCGACACGGTCGGAATTAGCTTTTAAGCGCGCTAACACCCTAACTTTATAATGTCTGCGAACAAAGAAGGTTATTATTGGCATACAACTGACAGTCAGCCCATTGCCCAACGGGGGCATCTTATCTCGACCTTTCGACACTTGATCCTCATCGTATCTCGTGGTTTGGAGACGGTAGCGGTTGTTTAGCTGATGAACACCACGCCATTTATAAAGACAACATAGATCATTGACTTGCTCTCTCATAAATTTACATATGTCCCATTTAGTACATAATTGGTGTTAATGATAATAATTATTCATTCCTAGGCGTCGTTCCGTTGTGTGAGAACTATGGCAAACGCTAGGTCTTTGCCACTAGCGTATACCTTCGTGGCCATCAATCCACAGCTGCAGCTATCGCCTTTGTCACACAACTGCTTACTCACTTACCTGCTCCTTTCTGAAAAGGTCTTACCTATTTTTGTGTAATGGTTTGGATACCCTACTTAGGTTAGGTAGTTAACGTGATCCAAAAATTGTGCTATCCTTGTATAGAAAAAATGGCTATGTGTTTTCCCTGATTTCGGTTGACTGTTTAGCTGATCAACACGCTATCCTTTGTTGTGTACCGAATTACATTGAATACGCTGCAAATCCTTAATGTGAAGGCTCTTGTTCGATTGCAACTCATCTTCACATTCAATGAACGACTATTATGCTGATTATTTCAACCATTCCCATGACAGTTCATTGTTACCACGTATACTGCTTTGTAAGTCGATAAAAACCATCCCGGCCATACTCCCGAAGCATGTTTATTTCCGCCTTTTCGCTATCCTCCATTTGATACTCGATCTTTAAGTCACTCAGTGATTTCATTCTGTATAGGCTGCACTGCGTCTTTTTACCTAATATATATAGTACACCTATAAATATGTTGCATTTTACCCATCTTGAACATGCTCCTTTTTCTCAATGAGCTCACGCAGTGTCTGGCATCTACCCGACAGTACTACACAAACTCTGCCTTTCTCCCCTTCGGACTTCGTCTATTCAGAACAAGTCGACGCCACTCAGCTTTTGATACTGTTTGTTTTACTTTGAATCCTTATTATTACCAACAACAGCTACTACTTTGTATTTGATTCGCACGATGGTGACAGATCTCATGTTGCCAATTCGTTAATAACTAGCAAGAAAGTGTTAGAAAACCCAGACCCTTCGTTAGCTATTAGCTCTTCATCTCACTACATGGTACCTTTATTTTTTTTTACTTGACAAGCCAACTCTCATTTTTTCTTCTTTGACGATGGTGCCATCTGGTGACCATCTACTATCGGGAAACGACTTTGGGTGCCTCAATCCGACATGCCAGGTCAAGCTGCGCAAACTTAAACGACTTGGTGAACGATAGCCCACAACTCTTCTGTTTAGTGGCAGCACATAATCAATCATCCTTGTGCTATGACATGTAAGGTAGTCACTGACTAGTGTGCATAAAGCTAGTTAATTATCGTGGAGTGCTTCCCGTCTATATAGTACTGATGCGTTATATTAAAAACGCTTATGTCCGTGGTAGGTTAGTGGGTAGGTAGTAGGCTAGTCATTAGAACACATTGTAGTCCAGGTAGGAACCCGGGCATAGAGACAGCCGTCTCTGTACTGGAATTATGCCTAACGGTGATAGGGGACGTAAATAAAAAACATAAATTAAACATGCAACTTACAGTAATTTGGCGCAACTGTACTTACAAGTAAAAATCCATTTATCCTTCTTATCG